GTTTTTAAGGCTATGTTTTTAAACTCATATTTCATGAAACAAAATTAGTACTAAATTCTTTCCTAATAAAGCATTTATAATTACTAGTGGGTTGAAGAGCTTTAAAAAAACACACTAGGTATCTCCCCCCTTCTTTAACAAAACAAATTTACACACATACATACTTTTTGGCTTATTCTCATAATTGATGGTTAATAGTTAAGATGATAAAATGCTGGTAATTAAATGAATTAAGGAATGCATTTTAGAATGATTTTGTGTTCACTCTCCTAGATAGCCCTCTTCAAGTGTGTAGCTCTCACAGTATAAAGAATACCAAAACTTAAATGATTTCTTGCTATTTAAAAAGGCTCTTTCTTCATTTACAAACACATTTATTTGAGAATGCTAAAGTAACAATGTTCTTTTCAAATTCATTAATTTAAACTTTGTGTGACTGTAAGAATGTCTCCAAATCTATTTTATAATAATATTTGTAACTAAACTATGCATAACCAAAGTATAAATTCCAGCATTAGAGAAGACAGAATAACTTCAGGTTGTAATTATACTCTTGCTTAATTAAGACTTGTACCGTATATGGAAAAAATCATAAGATGTTTTGCTGCATTAGTCATTAAATTAATTGTATCTGTGCTAATGTGGGCTACTCAATTATGTAAAGACTAAATTGATTTTAAAAAAGAGCACCTTTTTGTAGGCGTAGAGATCAATTAAGGCATTTTTCTTTTGATTAAAAATCTGTTTCATTATTTTACTTGAAAAGAAGTTGATATATATGTGTGTGTGTATATATATATATATATTAATGTTGCTTATAAGGGACAGTTCTTAACTTCCAAGGATCTGTTCCTCAACTTACAGGACATTCAGCAATGTAAGGAGAAATTCTGGTTATCTCAACTACTGCCATCTACTGGTGTTGCTGGCATTTGGTAAATGGAGGCTGGGGATTCTAAACGTTTTACAATGTACAAAGTGCCCCCTCCCCCCAAATAATCACCTGGCCCCAATTGTGAATGTAGTAGGTTGAAAATCCCCCAAGTAATTTCCTGACCTTTATATAGCTGATATTGACCAACCAAGCATCACTAATGGTCAGTTTTAGGCCAGACCTAAACCAGTTTGATTCAAATAGAGAATCAATTATCCACCAAATTAGACAGCTAGTACTCATATGCCCTGTTTGTAAGGGCACCTAACTGACTCCTTTAGGAATTACAAAGTGCTTTCATTAGCTCTGTCCATTAGGCTCTGGATCTTGTCTTGCCTAAAATGTCTCAAAGTCTAAACAGGAAAAAAAAAGACACATGAAGCTGACTTCACCCATTTCCCCCCAAAAGGTGCACTTATGTTCTATTTTTCTATAATAACAATCTCATTTACACTATTAGATTTAAAAATGTTAACTAAAGTAACTTTATAACATTACCCTTTTCAGCATCTTCGAGAGATTCAAAATGCAGGCCAGAAGGCATAAAAGAAAGGTGTATAAATCAACATAAAATAAGAGCATAATCAGCTATTACAATTAGCTTCTACCTTCCTTCTCAATGAACTCTATCCTGACTATTCTATATATTCAAATATTTAAAAACAAAGCATATGGTTATGAAAAAAATAGTATCAAGTTTCTAAGGGTGTACCTCATTCCACCTTATCAACTTCAACACTTGAAAAGTTTAAAACAATGTTATTAACTTTCTGGATACTGAAAGGCTTTCTTTCTTTTTGTTGTTACTTTGTTCTGGCTGAAATCCCTTTCTTCCGTTATTATTATTATTATTATTTAGTTTTTCATTCCTCTAAAGGAGACAAGAATTCCGGGATTTATATCTCTCCTCAGAACTCTAAGACCTCAAAAGCAAATATTGGAAACCCTGTAAAACAGTCTCAGATATATGCCTTTAGAAAGGTCAAAGAGAAAGAATGTCATAAAAAGCTTCATTTTTTTTTTTTGTGAGAGCACATCAAAAACACACAGGCCCTACCCACCCAACATCCTCACACTCTTTAAATAACAATGACCTACCTATAAATACTCTCTCAGCCCCTTCATCTCTAAACTAGGTTTGAATCATTGCTACCTACCTTGGTATGGGTGTTGTAAGTGTTACGTGCATTTGAGTTAGTGAATAGAAGTTGAGATAGAAACCCGAATTAAGGAAAAGAAACTCTTTCCCTTTAAATAGAAGTGGTTCCAGTTTCCATTTACAAGCCTGAAGGGTTGTTGTACATATTAAAACTGCTGCATAGCTCCTTGCCTGGTCACCGAAGCTCCTCCTCCCCCTCCCCCCACCCGTCCCCTTTCCCCTGTGGACACTGAAGATGTCAGATCTCCGGGAAACAGCGGTTAGGAAAAGGATGCGTTTTGGTAGTCTACACTAGCAAATGCTTGGATCTTCGCCCCTGCATAAAATAACACTGAACTGAGTCACCGGCATGCCGGAAGGAAGCTGTGCTTCTCTTTCTCTCCCCAAGGATCTAGTTTATAATAACTGCATAGTTTTTCCTTTGCATATGACGTGCCAATTCTTCTAATCCCTCTTTTGCCCTAGATAATTTTAAAGCTTTATCCCATCCATGTGCCACGCGAGGATGAATTTTAAAAATGCAGTTAACAAGATGACAGTGTTATCTAGGTATTTGGCATCAGTATTAGTGGGAGTCTGTCATTTGACAATTATTTCCCTAGCACAGCAGACGGTAAAGAAAATGTTTTCATCCATCCGCAAATGACTAACATTTTATTGATGCTTCAAAACCACGGTGGAATACTACTGCACTTTCTATTTCCGAGCAGGTTTTGAGAATTAAGCTTGAATACTAATAATGTCAGTAACTCCTGCGGCAAGCCTCTTGGCTAATTGCTGAGTCTCAAAGTGTTAGTAGAGCAGGGACGTGTCGTTGGTTAGGGTCTCTTCCCTCAGTCCGTTGGGTGGTCACACCGGTGACGACGAGAACCCTTCTCTTCCCCCATATATCCTCTTGCAAGGCGATAAAAATCACTGAGTACCGGCACCACCAAGCAAAACGACTCCCTGCCTGCCTCGTAAAAAGCTCAGTCTGGGGAGGAAGCCGGATGCTGACCCCTGCAGAGATGATTGCTTTAGCGCGGTTTGCCAAAGGACCCAGCTAGCATTATGGAAAACTAGTTAGGATGTGCAAGCTTTGGCTTTATTTATTTTGTCCAAGGGGAGCAAAAAAGGAGGCGAGGATGAAGCGAAGATTATCCTCATCAAGCCCTGCTAAAGGCGGAGAGTGGAGGAAGAAAGTAATTGAGAGAGGTAGCTTCTGTTTAATTGCCTGGTTCTCTCCTTCACTTCCCCGTTTGGCTTCCTAAACTCTTCACTGAACAAGATTGACTGGTGAAACTGTTACAGGCTTCTCTCGTTGATTTGTAAATGGCCCAGCATAGCCAACGGATCTTAAGTCTAGAAATGAGTTCAAGAGGGTTAAAAAAAAATACTGGGGGATAGGAGATGGCTCCCTGCCCAGCACCCCGTTCTGCCCTTGGCTAGGAGGGCAGCGTGCCACCGTCCTGGGATCCCTTAAGGGCTCGTGGCACCGGGAGCCAAGGTTGCTGCCCCACGCGTCCAAAAAGGAAGCTTGTCCAATCCGGTTTGGGGGTGGATAATGTATGTTCCTGTGACTCCTTAAACCCGGTAACTCCGCACTGCCTTGATTCGGAGGCTTCTGATCACTCCGCCCGACAGGCTCAAAGGGGTTAAACTGCCTCTTACATAACAGGGCTGCCTAGCTCTACACAATTAAAACACTTGATTGCAGTCTCCGACTCCGCATCCCAGCACCACCCGCCCCGTCCCTCCCAGCGCGCCTGCGTGCCGCGCGCACACAAACCCCGCGCGCACGCCCCGCGCGCGTACTACACACTCCATCTCTCACACGCACGCTCCATATTGATCACACACGTTCACACACACACACACACACACACACACACAACTTAGTGTCGAAACGCACCGAGAAGAGGACAAGGCGTCCTCCAATCCATACTGACTGACCCCCCCCCACCTACAGACAAGTCAGCCGCTGTACCCCCAACGCAGTGTACCCCTTCGTGCCCCATCCAGCACAGGGAACCCCGCCACCTTCTCTACCTAGTCCAAAAAGTGGGGGGGGGGTGCGAGGGAAGAACTAGTGGGCGCCCGGGTAACATGGTGACTACTGGGATTCAAAATTCCAAACGAGGCAAAACAACAACAAAAATAAAATGAAAAATACATACATCAATAAACTCACAGTCGCCGGCGTCATGATGGCGCCGACTACAACTTGGAGGACTTTAAAGTTAAGGTGCCTCGGGAGGTAAAACGCACCAGAGAGGGCACGGAAAGCGCCCGTGGACGTCTGCTCACCCCAGCCCTGACAGAGGACTTGGCTAGCAGAGCATCCTTCCCCGGGCTCTTACGACAGTGCAGGAAACCGGGTGCCTCTCTCCTGCTCCTCACTTGGCAAAAATTGTCATCTATCTCTTCCTCGCCCCCCCCCCATTTTTCTTTCCTCCCCTCTCCCTCTTTTCAATCTTTTATTTTTATTTATTTATTTATTTGTAATTTCATCCCCCCCCCCGCCCATCCCGCCCTGCTGCATCCTCCATCCCCGGGCGGGGTTGCTAAGGAAACCGCCGCTTGGCAACGCGCGCGAGCTCGGGGGCCGGCGGCCGCCGCTGCTCCCCGCACAGCTTCAGCTTCTGCCGCCGCC